GGTGTGTAGCACCACTCCCAACTTTAACCCTGGTTTTCAGGAGATAAAAAGGAAGTAAAGGGGCAGATGAGATGGTGCAGCTGTTAAGAGCGCTTGCTCCTCTTTCAGAGGACCCAAAGTTCAATGCCCTGCACCTACAGAGCTGCTCACAGCCAACTGTTAACTCCAGTAACAGGAATAAGCCTCTGGACCAGGACCCTGTTATTTCCAGAATGAATGTCAGGGTTAATGGTTCTGCCTGATTGACAGAGGAATTAACATGTATTCAAACAATTTTTTGTTTTGGTATTACAAAAAGTTATTTATCAAGAAAATATCAGGAGTCTGGAGAGATGGCTCAGTGTTTAAGCATTTGCTGTCTTTTCAAAAGATCTGGGTTCAGTTCCCAGCACCTACATGGCAGCCGTGATGTAGCTCACAACTGTCTGTAACTCCAGTTCCAGGGGATCTAATCCACCTCTCCTGGCTTCCCTGGGTGCCAGGCATGTACATGGTGCACATACATACATTCAGGCGAAGGACCTAAACACATAAATAAAAATAAACAAATCTTAAAAAACTCACTTGAAAATATAGGTGACCTGATTTAAAACAAATTTTAAAGGATTTATTTATTATGTGTGTAGTGTTCTGCCTCCATGTCTGCCTGAGGGCCAGAAGAGGGCACCAGATCTCATTATAGATGGTTGGAGCCACCGTGTGGTGGCTGGGAACTGAACTCAGGACCTCTGGAAGAACAGCCAGTGCTGAGCCATTTCTCCAGTCCTTAAGACAACTTTTAGTTGATTATTTTATATGTATGAGTGTTTTGCCTTCATGTATGTCTGGGCACTATGTGTGTGCTGTATTCTCGGAATGCAGGATCCCTGGAACTGGAGTTACCCAGTGGCTGAGCTAGCAGGTGGAGGCTGGGAATAGAAGCCGGCCTTCCAGTAGAGCAGCTGGCGCTGTCCATCACTGACCATCTCTCCAGCCCTACACGACCCAGCTTTAGGGCAGGGAAGCAGGTCCTGTGTGAGCTATTGACTTCATTCCAAGCCTTCTGTTTCCTCAGTGTTCTTCTGTTGCCCAGCATTGACCCTCACCCATCACAGATGACACAAAGGGATGGAGGCTGGTATTATTCCATGGACATGTTGGCCATCGCTTGACGTCAACCGTAGTGTCCTTTTTAAAACAACTTTTTCATTTTATCGGTATTTTTGCTTGCATGTGTGAGAGTGTCAGATCTCCTGGGACTGGAGTCACAGACAATTGCGAGCTGCTATGTGGGTGTTGGGAATTGTACCTGGGTCTTCTGAAAGGGCCGCCAGTATTCTTAACCGCTGAGCCATCTCTCCAGCTTCCAACCATAACTTCTTGTGCATAAATTCAGCTAGGAAGGGTGGGCCTTGTCATGACAGCTTCTCAGTGGGGCGAGTGCCACTGTGAAGGAGTAGGTGGCCTCATTCTCTCCTCTCTGGATTCTTCTATATTTTAATATGTGTGGCCTCTGAACCTTGCATGCTACTGGAAGGGGGAGCTGAGTGGAAAGGACAGGGGTGAAGAGCCAGCCTCAGTGAGGGCACCTTTTTCTTTATTTTTCTATATTTGAGACACCAGGCTAGCTTCAATCCATATTGATTTTTCTGCCTCGGCTTCATGAGTGCTGGGATTGTAGGTATGAGCCAAAAAGCTTGGTTTAGAATCTGCCTTCTCATAGGTCTTTCCCCCATGCAGTGTAGATGATTGAATTGAATCGGGGCCTTCTACATGCCAGACAAGTGCTCTGCCCCTGAGCTATTCCCAGACCCATTATAATAATTTCCTTGTGTTTCAGAGAAAGTATGCATGCACGTGTTTGCGTGTGCGCGCACACACACACACACACAGACAGACACACACACACACACACACACACACACACTGCTAGAGATGAAACCTAAGAATTTACCCATGCCAGGCAAATGCTCTACCACTGAGTACACTCTAACCTTAATTTGCATAATTTAAAAATAAGATTAAACCAGACAGTAGTGGTGCACACCTTTAATCCCAGCACTCGAGAGGCAGAAACAGGTGGATCTCTGTAAGTTTGAGGCCAGCCTGGTCTACAAAGTGAGTTTCAGGACAGGCTCCAAGGCAACACAGAGAAATCCTGTCTCGAAAAAAAAAAAATTAATTAAAAAGAAAACCTTCAACTCTAAAAATCTTGCCAAGCAACCTTTATCTTTTTTTTTGTTGTTGTTGTTGTTCTGTTTTGTTTTGTCTTTCAAGACAGGGTTTCTATGTCTAGCTTTGACTGTCCTGGAGCTAGATCTGTAGACCAAGCCTCTGAAGTGCTGAGATTAAAGGTGTGCGTCACCACCACCACCACAGATCAACCTATATCTTACTGAACGTTTGTGGAGGAGATAAAGAAATACACAGGATAGCCTTCTGAGTTGGACACCCTCTCTTGGTCTCATTGGGTCCCTTAACCCCCACCAATATACACCCTGTAACCTCTATGAAAGTCCTGGGCTTGTCCAGCTGGGATTTCTCTTATGAACCAGAAGACAAGCCTGGCTTCCACCAGCGAAGACAGCCCTGGCTGCTAGAGTAGCCACTGGGAGCTCCAGTTCTTGCCGTGGCATTTTCTCTGCTCAGTTCTGCAAGGACAGCGCTCTAGACGTGTGGGTTTTTCAGAGCTGGTTTACCTGCTCTCCTCCAGAATGGCGAGCAACTTAAATCTCCTCCACCAAGTTAGCCAAGTCTTTGACCTTGTCCGTAGCTGGGATTCTTGGTTCAAGGGCTGTGGCTCATTAAAGTGGCTTTGGGCTGGGCGGTGGTGGCGCACGCCTTTAATGCCAGCACTCGGGAGGCAGAGGCAGGAGGATCTCTATGAGTTTAAGGCCAGCCTGGTCTAAAGAGGCAGTTCCAGGACAGCCAGGGCTGTTACACAGAGAAACTTGTCTTGAAAACAAACAAACAAACAAAAACAAGCAAGCAATCAAACAAACAAAAACAACAACAACAAAGTGGTTCAGGCAAGGGAAGGGTCTGTTTCCAGGCGAGCAGGAATTGCCTTCAGGGACTCTGCTAACTCTGAGAAGGTTTTTCTGACTGTGGAAAGCTGGTTGCTTTGTTTTCTTCTTCTTTATTTATTTTAACTTTTTGAGACAGGGTTTCTCTGTAGCTTTGGAGTCTGTCCTGGAACTAGCTCTTACAGACCAGACTGGCCCTGAACTCACAGAGATCCGCCTGCCTCTGCCTCCCGAATGCTGGGATTAAAGGAATGCACCACCACTGCCTGGCTGTTTTCTTATTAGTATTTTTAAGATTATATTTATTTATCTATTTGGTGTGGTGGTGGTGGTGTATGTGTGTCACGAGTCACAGTTGGTGCACAGAAGTCAGAGGACAGCTTTTGGGAGAGCCAGTTCATCCCTTCTATGCGGGTCCCAGGGAGTGACGTCATTAGATTTAACAGCAGGCACCTTTCCCCACTGAGCCCTGTAACTGGCCCTGACTGGCTGTTTAATTGCAGCCACTGCAGGTGTGGCGTGTTTGCTAGGTTTGGTCATGGACACAGGGAGTGTGACGTTCCAATGTGACCTCCAGGAGCCACACTGTTTACTCTGCAGGCTGAAGACACAGATTGAAAAAAAAAAAAAAAGCATGCCAGGCCTAGGGAGATGGCTCAGAGAACTGACTGTGTGTGCCAGCAAGAAGACATCTCCAGCACCATAGAAAGCTGGACGTGGCTGAGTACACCTATCACCCAGTGATTGGAGATGGAGAGACCCTGGGAGCTCATTGGCCAGAGAACCCAGTCAACACCTGACAAAGTAAGGTGGAAAGTGACAGAAGACACCCTCCTGTATCCTCTCTGGCCTTCGAATGTGTGTGCGTGAGTGTGTCCATTCACACATATCTGTGGAGTCAGGTCCCTTCGGCAGACTGGGGGCTGGGCTCAGGTCACCCAGCAGGCTTTCTCCAAGCAAGTGTTTTTACTGTCTAGGTGATGGCACAGAGAAACTACTGAACTGGACTGCTCCCTGAGCAGATGGGAAGATTTAGTGGGGATCAAACTGCCAAGACCATCTCTGTGTGTGTGTGTGTGTGTGTGTGTGTGTGTGTGTGTGTGTGTTGGGGAGGACAGAGAGAAGACAGAAAAGCAAGTAAGGGTGGGGCACTTGAGCTGACACACGTTGTCCGGATTGATCTGAACTAGGTGCCCTAGGCAGAGGGAGTTGATATTAGGGGAAGATTAAGAGAACGTCTTGGTTAGATCTGATTTTCAGCCAGGCCTTTAATCCTAGAGACAGGTGGATCTCTGCATTATAGGCCAGCCTGGTCTACAGAGAGAATTCCAGAACTGCCAGAGCTACACAAAGAGACACCCTGTCTCCAGCATGGGAGAAAAGAGGGAGAGAGAGAGATCTGATTTTCTAATAAATAGAAACCATTAGGCTTGTTGTTTACCCAGTAACAATCCTTCTGTTTACCCAGCCAGAGGCCTTCTGTTTAGGACAGTGGTTTTCAACCTGTGGGTCTCTATGTCTTTTGGGATCACATATCAGATTCAATTACATTACAATTCATAACAGTAGTAAAACTACAGTTATGAAGTAGCAATGAAATAATTTTATGGCTGGGGGTCACCACAACATGAGGAAATTTATTAAAGGGTCGCAGTGTTGGGAAGGTTGAGAACCACTGGTATAGGACACGGTCACCAGCGCTGCTTGGACCTCTCTCTGGTCATTCTCTCTCTCTCTCTCTTCTTTTCTTTCTTTCTTTCTTTCTTTTTTTTTAAAGACAGTCTCTATGTAGCTTTGGCCCTGAAACTTGACACAGACCAGGGTGATCTGCCTGTGCCTCCTCGATGTGAGATTAAAGGTATGAGCTAACTAGCCAGGCTTTGTTTGTCTGTTTGTTTATTTTTGGGTTTTTTTTTTTTTGTTTGAGGATGCAGTTCTTTATTGGAATATTTTCAATTGTGTTTGCAAACATTAACACTGGGGAAAACAAAATTCTTATTTTTTCAGAGCCTGCTGGGTAGCAGCCTCAGCGACCTGAGCCTTAGCGACCCTCACAGGAGACAGCTGGGTGGAGGCCTCATCAACCTCCTCAAGACACTGGGTCTCATTCTCTGGAGAAAGGTCCTCCTCTTGTATCATTCGCGGGCGGTAATAATTAACCAAGTTGGAGATCATCTGGGAAACGTCTTCTTGGTAATGAGGAGGCCCGAATATCAAAATCTCTGCATCCTCTTCAGGATGCCAATGGGTCACTTGAAGCAAGGTATGTGATGTACTCTCGACATGTAGGATGTACCATCCATCCTTGCCAAATATCGCTTCCACAAACCAAGGATTCACGTACACTGTTTCTGGATCATCCAGATACTCGGTCCGGAACCACTTGGGCAACGTGCTGGAGTCTCCGACCACTTCAAATAAAGTCCCTTCTTTGTGTTTCAGCTGGACCAGCGACTTATAAGTCTTAAAAGGGACCATGGTGCACCAGTATCGTCATAAACAGAATAGGCAACTCCAAACCCAGTAAACCCCTTATTTTTGGTTTTTTTTTTTTTTTTTTTTTTTTTTTTGGTTTTTCAAGACAGGGTTTCTCTGTGGTTTTGGAGCCTGTCCTGGAACTAGCTCTTGTAGACCAGGCTGGTCTCGAACTCACAGAGATCCACCTGCCTCTGCCTCCCGAGTGCTGGGATTAAAGGCGTGCGCCACCACCGCCCGGCATTATTTTTGGTTTTTTGAGACAGGGTTTCTTTGTAGCTTTGGAGCCTGTCCTGGAACTAGCTCTTGTAGACCAGGCTGGCCTTGAACTCACAGAGATCCGCCTGCCTCTGCCTCCTGAGTGCTGGGATTAAAGGCGTGCGCCATCGCCGCCTGGCTATTTATTTATTTTTAAAAAACAGGTTTTCAAGTAGGCAAGACTGTCTGTCCTTAAACCTGCTATATATCTCAGAAGCTGACCTTCCCGTCTGCCCCGCGAAGCCTAGTTCACACAATGCTGGGTTTGCGCATAGGACTTCGCTCATGCTGGGTGAGCTGTCTACTGACTGCGCTCCACCCTCCACTGGCGGAAGCTCCAAAGGAATGAAGGACTCGGGTAGTGTCCAGGGTTCGGGTCAGAGTTGGCAACAGAGAGCTTGAATTCAAAACAAGTTGGAAATTAAAATAAACAGTGGTGACCAGGGGAAGGATAAGTGTCCTTGTTTACTTTCTGTTGCCTTGATAAAACACTCTGACCAAAAGCAACTTGGAGAGGAAAAGGTTTGATGGTCTTGCACTGTCCGGTCACAGTCCATCTTTGAGGGAAGTCGGACAAATTGTCAAGGCAGGCGCCTTAACGCAGTCACGCTTCTTATCCCACACATTATGTCCAACCATGGAACTCACTCCGAGCCAAAGAACCGCAGGAACCATGGGGCTGCTGCTTGCTAGCTGGTTCACTCTCGGCCAGCGTTTTTATACAGTGCAGGACAGCCCCCGCTTCTATATCGATTAATAAGTTTACAGACCGACCCGACCTCGACAATAATTAAACTGTGATTTCTCTCAGATGATTGGGCCAAATTGACAGTTTTAAGGACGATGATAGCCACCCAAGAGCCCTCCGCGTAAGTAGAAAGCGCCAGGGCTCTTGATGTGTGGGGCACAGGTGGCCTACAAGCTAAAACAGCGGCCAAGGTAGTAAGCAGAGCTCCTTCTGTCTGGAGTTTCTCAATGACGACGAACTGCCTCCTCAGGATGCTGCAAAAATCTGCAGAGTGTGGAAGAGCAATTTGGGAATCTCCTGTAACAATCTTTTTCTCTTTGTGAATAGCTTTGTGAATAATTTTAAGACGGTGTCTTAAAAAGGGTTGTGTTCCCAAAGCATGGTAGGTAGGTGCTTAATAAATGATAAAAATAAGAGGAATGAGAAGATGAAGCGGCGGGTCCCAGCGGGACACGGAGGCGGTACTATCCCAGAGTCCAACCCAGAGTTTAGAGAGCGCAAGCTCCAGGACCCGCAGAGGGCGAGGAGGAGGGGGTTGAGGGTGTTAACTCTCAAAAGCAGCCTCATAAAAGTCTGGCTCTGGCCCTTTAAGAGGCGGATGGGGGTTATACTGACAGACAATCAGACCAATCACTGCTTCAAAGAGAAGGGGCTTTATACTTAATTTTTTTCCACCTCCCTCATTGGAAACTATGTCGTTTTGGCACCGTTCAAAAAGACCAATAGCTTTTCGAGATTTCTGCCACTGCCCTTTACCGATTGGCCATAGGCCATCGTCCCGCCCCCGCTCGCCCCACCCCTTTGCACACAAGATGGCGGCGCCCAGTGGAGTGGAGGCCGCGCTTGGGGCTTCCCGAGGCTGACTCTCTCCTTTTGGTGACAGTCGCCGCGAGTGGGAGGACAGGGGCCGGGCGGGGACAGGGGCACCTGCGTGGCTGGACCGCGAGCCCGCGCCCAGCCTGCGCCGCCCCCACCCGGCCCCGGCCCGGCCCGGCTTTCCCGATCCGGTCCCCCCCTTCCCGGTCTCCTCCCGGTCTGACCGGTTCCCGGCCTCGTCTGCCGCTCCAAGCTTCTAAAGCTGAGGGATTTCCTCCATTCCCGCTCACTGTCACTTTCGACATGTTCTGCCTCTCCGCTCCCGCACAGCCCGCCTTCCAAACCGGGACTCCCTTCGCTCTCTTAAGAGTCTTCCCTCCAACCCGCTTCAGACCTTGGTTCTCGCTCGGTTAGGGGTTCGCATCCCTTCCAGATTAGCCCCCCGACTCTCCAGATCCTGGCAGCCTTGACACGGCCTTCACGGAGGAACCGGCCTTGCTTTCGTCCTGAACTCCGCAGCCCTATCATGGAGGCTGTGTTCCTGCTGGTGAACGGGGTGGGCCTGGTGCTGGACTTGCTGACCTTGGTGTTGGATCTCAACTTCCTGCTCGTGTCCTCCCTCCTGGCCACCTTGGCCTGGCTCTTGGCCTTCATCTACAACCTACCACACACGGTCCTGACCAGTCTTCTCCACTTGGGGCGAGGAGTCCTGCTCTCGCTGCTGGCCTTGGTGGAAGCGCTGGTCCGGTTTACCTTTGGCGGCTTGCAGGCCTTGTGGACTTTTCTCTACAGCTGCTACTCTGGCTTGGAGAGCTTGAAGCTCCTAGGGCACCTGGCTTCTCACGGAGCTCTGAGGAGCCGAGAACTACTCAACAGGGGCATCCTGAACATGGTCTCCAGTGGCCATGCTTGGCTGCGCCAGGCCTGTGACATCTGTGCCATTGCCATGAGCCTGGTGGCCTATGTGATCAACAGTCTGGTTAACATCTGCCTCATCGGCACGCAGAACCTCTTCTCTCTGGTGCTGGCCCTGTGGGATGCCGTGACGGGGCCTCTGTGGCGGATGACAGACGTGCTGGCTGCTTTCCTCGCCCACATTTCCAGCAGCGCAGTGGCCATGGCCATCCTCCTCTGGACCCCCTGCCAGCTAGGGCTGGAACTGTTGGCCTCAGCGCTCCGCCTCCTGGCCGGCTCTGTTCTTTTCAACCTCACGGGTTTGGTGTTGCTGGCTTGTGTGCTGGCGGTGACTTTGGCCGTGTTACACCCAGACTTTACCTTGAGGCTGGCCACCCGAGCCCTCAATCAGCTCCATGCCCGGCCATCCTACCACCGGCTCCGAGAGGATGTTGTACGGCTCTCTCGCCTGGCGCTGGGTCTGGAGGCCTGGCGCCGAGTCTGGAGTCGAAGCCTGCAGCTGGCCAGCTGGCCAAATCGGGGAGGGGCGCCAGGGGCCCCCCAAGGAGGTCCCCGGAGGGTGTTCTCAGCCAGAATCCAGGGACAGGACGCTCTTCCTGAAGCAGAAGAGGACGTCAGGACCAACAGGACGGCACCCGCTAGAGGCCGAGAGAGACTCAATGAGGATGAACCGACAGCCGGGCAAGACCCATGGAAGCTGCTGAAGGAGCAGGAGGAGAGGAAGAAGTGTGTCATCTGCCAGGACCAGAGCAAGACCGTGCTGCTTCTGCCCTGCCGGCACCTGTGCCTGTGCCAGGCCTGCACCGAGATCCTCATGCGCCACCCCGTCTACCACCGCAACTGCCCGCTCTGCCGCCGCGGCATTCTGCAGACCCTCAATGTCTACCTCTGATGACTCCCTCCCCGCCCGCCCACCCTCCGCGCTCCACTCGCTGGGACAGCATCAGCCTTCTGCCTCTAGGTCTTGGCCTGAATCTTCTTTGCCTCAACACGAGGCGCGACTCTGTCAAGCCTCAAGCCATATATCCAGGACTTGTAGCTGGAACATTCTGGAAGACTCCAGCCTGGGTGGGACAGGGTAACAGTTTCTCTGCACCCTGTGTGGGGCCCTGTGGTGTCGAGGGTGATGAGTCTGTCACTATGCAAGGGCCCTGAGACTGTGGCGGGCTTTTCCCCAGTCTGCCCAGGGCCCACCCAGATGCCAGCCTCTTGGGCTAGCCTTTGCTTCTGGCTTTTCTGTTGGGGTTTTTGGTCCTTCCCCCCTAGGCCACACCACAGTAGTGTCATGTGAGGATTTCGGCGACTCATGGGCCTTGGAGTGATCTTCATTTTTCTATTTTTGTTTTTTCTTGTTTTGGAATGATCTTGAATCTTTATGTTCAGTCAGAGCCTCTGCCCTGGCGGGTCTGGGAGTAGAATCCCGTAGGTGCCCTTAGAGCCACTTCTGCCTGTTACTGTCTTTTAAAAAAGACTCCCGACTTGACCCAGAACCTGGGGTGAGTAGTTTATCCCTGGGTACAGGGGTGCAGCTAAACCTGGCTTTGGGACCATTTACCCTGAGGCACTCAGTTCTAGGAGGAGCCTCAGAAGGAAGACCCAAATTTCTGCTCATTCCCCTCACACCTCACATGGCACTGAACATGGCATTCCTCCTGGTCTCTCTCTGGCATCGGGGAGGGCATTCTGCACATTTCCCTAGGGTTCAAACAAGGGGCTAGGCCTCTGGGCATGCAGCCCCTGTTAGGTCTGCCTGCCCAGTTTCTATGAATAAAGCTGCGTTGATAGCTCTAACAGTTTGGTCCTTGCAAGGGTCAGCGGGTGTTCAACCAGTGTTGCCTGGGGGCTTTCAACTGGCTAGAGTAAGTGAGCACCTGCATTGCTTAGCTTGGGGGTGTGGACGAGGAGATGGGTGGCAGGGCTGTGTCCCCAGGAAAGCTTGGTGGTCACCCCTTCTGATCTGACCTACCGCACTCATTTCTGGACCAGGCTTCTCTGTACTGCATTAAGTCCTTGTGAGCGGAACGTGAACTCGTTGCCCCTTCCCTGTGTTCCCAGTTGTGCCACTCTTCCTGGGAGGGCACAGTGGAGCTTGCTGCTTGGAGGCCAATTCCTGGAGGAGCTGGCGCTTGTCTGTTTCTTGTTTGGTTTGTTTTTCAGGACAGGGTTCTTCTGTGTAGCCCCGGCTTTCCTGGAACTCACCATGTAGATTAGGTTGGTCTTGAACTCAGAGATCCACCTGCTTTTGCTTCATAAGTGCTGGGCTTAAAGGCATGCGCCACCGTGCCCAGTGTGGTGCTTGTCTTTTTTGTGTCTTGGTTCAGGGCCTGGTACTGTGATGGGCTCCATGGAGTAAGGGACTTTTTGCTAGAGTGTGAGCTGGAGCCTAGAGATCAGCAGGTCTGCCTGGAAGACACAGGAAACCTAGAGCCTTTGATACAGCGCCCTCTCATGGCCGCAGGAAATTAGGGGCAGCACAGTCTTCTGGAAGAGGGGTAGTTGCTGGGTCCCAAAGGAGGTCCCTCCACTCTGCATGGAGATGTTGAACAGTTGTGATTAGCAAACCCGGGATGTTTGTTAGTCATAGCCTGAGCCCTCAGGGGTTCTGTAGCCAGCCTCAGACTTAATGGCTTGGCCCACCCAGGCTGTGCCCAGCACAGTGGAGACAGTTCTCCACTGCCCCTGAATTTGGAGGCCTGTGGCAGGGCTTGCAACACACCCCTCCCCACCCGCCCCCTGCTGAGCAAGGAGAAGCCTGGCTCCTTCCAGTCTCTGTTTAATGTGGAGGATAAACATTTTATTAGGGAAGATAAACTTCCTGAGCTGGGGGCCAGGGACCTCCTTTCCTACCACCCCGGTCTGAAATTCTTTCTTCAGGTCTTAATTCCCTTTCCCCAACCACCTTAGAAGCCCAGACCTTAAATCATTGTTCTAGTCTGGAGCGTGGTCGCCCCCTTGTGGTCATTCCAGAAACTACTTATGTCTGGGTGGGGTGACAGCAGCGGCTCTACAGTTAACTAAGAAAGCGAGTTATCCTTACCGTTATCCCGCTCACAGTGAGGGCAGCCATGAATGAAAGCTCCCGATCCTTTTTCAGACCAGACAGTGGCTGCTCCCGCGTGGTGTGGCATGTCTGAATTAGAAAAATGTGTTCCTTTTTCTGGGTGGCCAGAGCCCCAAATCAGGAGGGCAATCTGCTGGTCAGGCAATCCTTTTCGCCTCCACATAGCTAGGTGGCATCTCCGTGAGCCGACTGATTAATCTAGGTCTGCCTACTGTTAGCTCTGCCTCGTGGCTCCATCCCACCCAGGAACCCTCCCTGCTGTGGATCCTCAAAAAAAAGGCAGAAGCCAGTGGGAAGTTTTTGAGGTTTATTGAGTGAGCTCTGAGAAAAAGGCTGGCCCTAGGAGCAGGAGATATGGAGTCAGGGACCTAGAGGGGACACAGGACTAGGAAGGAGCATCCCACCTTGGAATCCTGGGCCAGGACAACCAGGAACCCACAGTTGCCAGCACAGCACACTCCTGGGCAGAAACCCAGCCGCTGTTCCACACTGCCTGCCTTGACCTCAGACAGCCTGTCTCCATTCCTTGCCAGCAGTGGGACAGGAGGTAGCTCCTTCTCTTCCCTAGTCATTCACAATATTCCAGGGGGCCAGCCCTCCTGGTATGCGCCTGACAATGTCACAGACCCTCCTCTAGGAGCAAGTGCCAGCTCCAGGTTCACTGTATATTAGGCGAAGACTGGGGAGCTGTGCCAGTCAGAATAGACGAGAAATCCAGAGAAGGTGCTGTCTGTCTTGATGCTGGCATAGATGCCAATGTAATCACCCACGCCCACCTGCACCCACACCTGGTCCTCGGGTTCCAGCCTTACCATAGCACCCCCCGAGAGCGAGGCTGGCTTGGGCCACCCCCCGAAAAACTGGAAGAAAGAGGCGATGGACTCGCCATTTTTGACAAGATCGAACTGCAAGCTGGCCCGGTAGACGGTCGCGTGGACGGCGAAGTAGTAGACACCAGGCACTTGGCAGGTGAACTTGCCGGTAGTGGCATCGTAATGTCCCTGCTCATTTAGCAGCACGCGGTCGAAGGGTAGGGGTGTGTCAGCTGGCGGAGGCACTCGGCTCTCGGAGCGCTTGGCACTGAAGGCTGATCGCGGGGGCACCGAGCACTCCCCAGCAGGTCCGATAGCCCCCACGGGACCTGCCTCTCCACGAGGCCCAGGCTCCCCTCGCGGCCCAGGCAGTCCTGGGGGTGGGGGTGGGTCGAAGGGGAGAAATTAGGAGTCACAGTGGCTCGCAGAAGGGCGACTCTGTTGACTATTCCTAAGTCTCCCAGCCTCCCTGGCTGTTGCCTCCTGCGGGGAACAGATCTGAAGTGCTGAGCAGAGGGACCTAGGCTTTCTGACTCCCTGGGGCTGACTCACCCCTCCACCCACAGCCCACCTCGCCCCACCCTAGCCGACTGGAATGGAGGGGGAGTAGCGCCCCCTGGCGGGACCCTTGAACCCCAAAGGATTCATGAGAGCAGCTGCGGCGCTCACTAGGATGTCCCCACGGACTGCGATGAAGATGACTTCTTACCCGGCCTCCCGCCCTCGCCTTTCTCGCCCGGAGCTCCGGGCGCACCGTCGCGGCCATCACGACCGTCGCGGCCAGGCAGGCCTTGGCTGCCATGGTGGCCTGGTGTGCCTGGAAGGCCGGGCTGCCCGGGACACATGCTGGGGATCTTGTTGTCATCCAGTGGAGGAGAGCCTGACACCAACCCCAGAAGCAGCAGGGCAAGAAGTGGCCTCATGGTGGTGACCTCGGAGGCCCAGACGCCAGGATCCTCTTGTAGTCTGTGGGCTGGGCAGGACCAGAGTCGGAACCCAGAATCTCAGGACCCACCTCGCGCCCCAGGTCCCCGCTCCACAAACATGCCTTTGGGGTTGAGTGCAGTGTGACAGGATGAAGAGGAGGGTGCCCCAGACCAAGAATTGGGAGAGCACAGGAAAGGAAAGGAAAGACAAGCCCTCCCTACCAGGTCCCCTAGCTGGCGCCCAGGCTGTCCCACAGTCCCCTCCCCCACCCATACTCCTCCTCTGCCAGACTCATCCCTCCCCTCTCCCCAGCTCCCCCTGCTGCTCTCTCTGAATGACTTTCTCAGACCCTCCACCTGGCCCTGCTCCCACTCCTACCCCAACCAGGCAGCCCCTGCCCTTGCTGACTGATCCCAGCGTCTGTTGCTCCTTGCCGGCTCCACAGCGCTCCTCCCAAACTCCTAGAGGAAACCAGTTGTTCAGGGGCCAAGAGCTCCGGGACTGGGAAATAGCAGGGAAATAACTCGTGGTGTCGCCCGGCGGCCGGCCAAAGTTGTGGGGGTGTAGGGGGTGTGGAGAAAGGAGGAGGAGAGAGAGACTTGAGCCTGCTTCCCACAGAGGCTGAACTGTCAGACAGACACTTGTGGCTCCAGTTCCCAGGAGCTGGCGGGAGGGAGGGATGGATGGCTGGAACAGTGACAGGGACCAAGGTCAAGACTAGTGTGTGTGGGTGGGGTGGAGGCGGGTGGAGACCTAGATCAGGAGAGCTCAGGGGACCCTCCCAGGCGGAGAATAGGGTCCCACCACACCAACAGACTCTCAGTATAGCTTTGTTGACAAATGGGAAAGCTGAAGTCTGGTGATGGTGATTTTAAACACTCAGACGGGAAGGGGGAAGGCAGAAGATAGGGAACCAGGGTCAGAGACTTGGATAAGAAATCTCTAGGTTCTCTAGGCTGTAAGGCTGTCTTGGCAAACAAGAGCGCAGGGGTGGTACAGGGAAGATCGGGTGGCCCCATTTGCCCTGGGCAGGATCAGGTCCCACTCTCTGGGAAGCACCAAGAGAAGATGGGTGGAGTCCCATGCCCAGGTCACTCTTCCCTTTGTTCTCTGCCTGCCCTGTCCACCCACATAAGTAGAGGAGGATGGGCAGACAGAGGGTAGGGGCTGGCTTCAGGTCAGGGCTGGGAGCAAGCTTCTAGGCTAGTGGCCTCAGGCAGCCGGTTGCAGTTGAAGGGCCAGGGGGTGCCCAGTAGTGCCAGGCTAGACTGGCACTGTTGTTCTGCCTCCTGGCAGACAGAGCGGCAAGGGGGTAGAATAGTGCCTAGTGGGGTGCAGTGAGGTACAAGCAGTCTGCAAAGGAACCTCCGGAAGTTCTGATAGCAGGGTAGAGTTGTCAGACTCTGTGGGAGGGAGAGACAGACCTCAGATGTCCAGTTCCCATGCACCCACCTCTCCCTTCATCCTCCCGCCTCTGTGTCTCAGTACCTTGTAGTCTCTGAGGGTGTCCGCCACCTCCGCCTGGGTGGCCAGGCCTACCCAGATGTTGGGGAAAGCTGTGGTGTTGTAGCTTAGTCCGAGACACATTTCCACTTGGACAGGTTCACAGGTCAGCTCTGTAAGGGGGGATCACTGTGAAGAACAAGACACTGCCTGGCCCTGGGGCCTTGTTTCCACATGGGTCACGGGGACTTCTGTCGAGTGTCTCAAGAGGCACCACAGAACCGTTTCACAGGCTTCAGCAAGCCCTTCTGTTTGCCAGAGCATGCATTGGCCAGCCCCTGCATCATGTAGGCCCATCTGATCTTAGGAAATGTGGAGCACCCTCTGGGGACTACTTGGGAGCACTTCTATCATGTGATCTGTGAAGCAGGCTGTGGAGAGGGACTCTGAGTGACAAGGTAGATAAGTCTCGATACCCCTACCACTGACCCCCACCTTCCCGTGTCCCTCTCAGGTGACATTAGTGTCCAATGCCGTCACTGGCCAAGAGTCCCAGGGTGAGGAGAGGGGCCCAGGCACGAACTTCCCAAGAGGGAAGGAAAGGGAGGTGAGAAAGAGTAGCAGGAACCCAGCCTGTTGTGGCCAGCAGGACTTGCTCGGGTAAAGGCTCCCTACCTGGTTGTGGGAACAGGTGGCTGCTGCAATTGTCATTGCTGTCATCTTCACAGTCTCTCCATAGGTCACACATCCATTGCAGTTCCCCACACCCTCCGTCCTGGCAGAACTCTCTGGGCCCACAAGGGTCTGCGGGCACAGAGGCATGACGGTGCCCTAGGACATGCCTGTACCCACGGCCCTCCACGGTACCCTTTGATGTTCCATGGAGGAGCCTCTGTTGCCCACACCCCCATGCCCAGGGGCACCTACTCTCTGTAGTATTGATGGCCTGGTAGGTGGCTAAGAAGCCCCCACTGCTGATACCACGATCGGTCTTAAAGATTACAGCCAGCTGGTGCCGCGAGGAGACGAGGTGGGGTGGCGGCTCTGCACCACAGAACCTGCCCGGAGCAGAAAAATAGCCTGGCACAGGTCCCTGGCCAGCCCTGGGGGCTCTTGGCCATGCCAGGGATGATAGCGAACAAGATTGCTGATTCATGGAGCTTAGGGAAGGAGACACACGCTGTCACAGAAAGTAGGAAATGGCTTCTTAGACTTGGAAAGAGTAAGGGAAGAGAAGATGGCAGAAGGCAAAGGCCCTACAGGTGGAAAGAATAGGGCTGGGCAGTTGCGGAAGCCAAGGCCTGGTCAGGAAAGCACACGCTGTTTCCGGGGGACCGGTAAAGAGCTCGGAGTTTATAGAGCAGCCGAAGACAGTGAAGCCTAGTGTTGGGAGTCCAGGCTGCCGGGGGGGGGGGGGGGGGATGGGACGCCCTGATTGGTACCTGCCCAGGAAGCTGAAGGCCCCGGAACTGCTGGCCTCGTACACCTCCACGTAGTCAAACTTGCACTCAGCTTGCTCTTCCAGGCTGAAGTTGTGGAACTGTAGTCCTATGCCGTATCCCACGGGCACTGAGATGTACCAGGTGCAGAGCTGGAGGAGGGCATGTGTGAAATAATTAACGAGGACCCTCTCCGGTCTCAGCCCTGTCTTGCAGGGGGCACTCTATGCCCACAGTAGACTAGGCAGGGTGTTGCCTACCTACATCATCGGTGCCTCTTAAATAGGAATGGTCGGTCAGACATGGTGACTTACACCTATAGTTCCAGTGCTTGGGAACAGGGTTCAAAGTCAGCCCAAACTTATATCAAGTTCCAAAGAAGCCTCCTGAGCTATCTACAGAGACTGTTTCAAAAAGCCAAGGACCAGGGATAGAGTAGCTCAGGGGTAAAGGACTTATCTGTCACGCACAAGATCCTGGGGTTGTTCCTCAGCATGGAAAAACAAAAACAAAAACAAACACAGAACAACCCAGCAGGTGTGGGGTTGGGGGTGAAGGCCTGGAGATGCATGCCTTTCTTCCCAGGCAGTGGCAAGTGGATCTCTGTGGGTTCCAGGCCAGCCAGGGTTACATAGTGAGACCCTGTCTCAAAACAAACCAAAGCCCATGCCTGGCATGGTGGCTCATACCTACAATCCAAGCACTTGGTAAGCTGGGGCAGGAGGTTTCTCACCAGTTACAAGATCAGCATGGGCTACAGAGGGAGACCTTGTCTATAAATATATAAATGCCCTTTCAATTGTTGAAGGTAAAGGTGTTTACCCAGCATAGAAATATCTGGGTATACCATTGGTACTGAACAATGTTTCCTTCTGGCCGGCCTGAACTTATCTTACCCAGGCACACAAACCTAGGCACCCTGGTGTCTGTTTCCTGGGGGCACTGTGTTTACCTGTTGTTGAGGGTAGTGCTGTGGGTAGTTGGGGGTAGAGAACACCCCATGGAGCCCAGTCAGATTTCCTCCACACCCTGGAGAGAGTCAAATGGCCATGAGTAGTCAGGCAAGAAAATTCTGGGTCAGAGCAAGGAAGCCCAGCCTCGGACAGAAGCCTGAAGATGTGGCTGCCCCATCCCTAGCTGGGCCCGTACCCGAGGTCTTGGCACTGCAGTTGGCCTCGTCACTGCCGTCAGCACAGTTGGTAATACCATCACATACTAAGTCGTGCGTCAGGCAGAGGAGCAGGTCACAGCGGAACTCATTGTGGGCACAGCTCCCTGGAGAATCATCTGGAGTCAGAATCCCCCAGAGTTTCATCTCCTTTGCTGTGTCGGGAGTAGCTGAAGGGGTGGCATCTGGGGACATGATGGGAAGACACTCACAATGTCCCGGGGCCACAGCTTGGTACCAGGCCTGGAAACCAGACCCTTCCACGTCAGCATCAGAGACGAAGGACACACGGAGGTGGCTGGTATTGGTGTTTAGTGTGGCTGGAGGCGTTTTACCACATACCCTGTCAAAGAGCCAGGCTGGGGGTGATGGAGGCTCTGAACTCCGGCAAGAAACGAACGGACCAGAGCCCAGAGGTGGTGGCGCATGCCTTTAATCCCAGCATTTGGGAGGCAGAGGCAGGCAAATCCCAGTGAGTTAGTTCAAGGGCAGCCTGGTCTACAAAGTGAGTTCCAGGACAGCCAGAACTGTTGCACAAGAAAACCTTGTCTTGAAACTGCCCTCACCCCCACAAAAGAAAGAAATGGATCAGAGAGGGAGGTGACCTTCCTTAGGCCACACAGCAACAAGGTGCTGGCAGGGGAGGAGTCAGAGGTTAGTTCTGTTAATTTCCTTTTTTGCTTCCACTCCCAGTTTCTCCACTTTCAGATAAGGGGGATCCTCTGGATGCAGAGGGACCCACCTGAAGAGAGGGCCTGAAGGCTCTGGGGTAATTTCCAAGCGATCAAAAAGACAGGCGAGCACACCTTCTATGCTGAGGGCTTGAATCTTGAGCTGTATTGTCTGGCCTGTGGCTACCTGGATATGCCAGACACAGTGACTGTGGGGTGGGTAAAGGTCTGGGTAGTTGGGGCTGCTGAAGAAACCCTGTGGACCAGGAAGGAGGCCTCCGCAGGCTGCAGGGGGTGGAGGTTAGAGTTCAGAAGTCAATAGAAGAGAGGTTTTTCCCCCTCACTCCCAAGGTTCCTCTTCCAGGCTTTTCTTCCCCACTACCACCTTAGGCATTCTCCACAGGGCGCCCTTAGAACTCACTGGTCTGGTGTGTAGGGCTCATGGCTGCTTCCTGATGTCCCGCGGTTGCTGGAGAGATGGTGGTGGTGCTGGTGTTAGGACTGGTACTAGGAATGCTACCCTTGGGGGTGAGGCCTTGGGTGGGCAGTGGGCTCTCAGTTGTCCTAGGGAGGGATGTAGTCTCCAACTCTGGGGGCAGGAGGATGGAGGAGAGTCATTTAGAGGAACAGGTCCCTGCAAATAGTTCATAGACTCTCCATGTAAAGTCCTCCCATGTACTCACGGGTCAGGATGACAGTCACCAGCAGCCCCAGCAGCAGGAGCAGCAGGCCACTGAGCAGCAGGATACAGAGGCAGGAGAAGTGGCAGTCTGGTTGTAGCCCTCGGAGATGCTGGGCTGCAGGGAAGACACAGTGGGCTTTTTAGAGGCACCCCTGCCCAGAATGACCCTTGCACCTTAGTTCCTGGACTCTCTCCTGTTCCTGGGCAACCCCTGAGATGGTTACCACGCCAGGGAGCTTTGAGGCTGCTGCTGGCATCTTTCTGTAAGGCTGGTGGAGGGCAAGAAGG